TTGGGGCAGCTTCCCCTCCTCCCCAGGAGTCTAACACAGAAATTATTTATTTTTAGCTTTTAGTTTTTTGAGTTGGAGTCTCACTCTGTTGCCCAGGCTGGAGTGCAGTGGCATGCTCACGGCCACCGCAGCCTTGACCTGCTAGGCTCAGGTGATCCTTGCGCCTCAGCCTTCCAAGTAGCTAGAACTACAGGTGTGTTTCACCATGCCCAGCTAATTTTTTGATTTATTGTAGAGATGAGGTCTTGTCCAGTTGCCCAGGCTGGTCTCTAACCCATGGGCTCAGGCAGTCCTCTCACCTTGGCCTCCCAAAGTGCTGGGATTAAAGATGTGAGCCACCACAGCTGGCTGCACAAAAGTAATTTAAATAAACTTAGAAGCAACATATTCATTAACTTTTAATCATAGCTGTAGTTTTTACTTCATGACCTGATATTACTTCTATATAGGCAGTTGATATTATATAGTTGGAAACACATAAATATAACCTTAGGAACATTAAACACTTTTCATGTTTGACAATGTTTCCTATGTGATTTTAGTACACTAAATGAGTTAAATGTCTTTTTGGATTTCAGAGAAAGCTGATACTAAAAAGTTTTTTAAAAGACTAGAAAGACTGGATTGAGAACTTACAATTTTTATATTGGAAAGTTTGTTAAATATTAAAGGTTTCAAAAGCATGACATCATAACACAAGATTTCAATCACTGTAAAATAGTCATTGATTTAGTCAAAGATTTTGAAAAGCAAAATTCTTACTCTTTGATAGAGGAGCTCCATTTCCTTAAAAAAAGAAAGATAGTAGTGGGGTTAACTGAATCTGTCCCTTTCCCCCTCCTTTTTATTTTGTAGCTTACCTTAAAAGTATACAAAAACCTTTAATTATGTCTTGAAATCATACAAAATCTTATTTAAAAGAGAATAGCAAATTTTATCTACGTGTATTTTGGGTGTATTAATAACATCAAAGCTAATTTTAATAAAACCCTATAAACATATTTATCAAAATTTGATCAGTTTGACCATAAGGTAAGATTTCTATAAACTTATTATAACATTCTATAATTTTTTATTAAAGAACAGATTAAGCCGGGCTCGGTGGCTCAGCCTGTAATCCCGAGCCTTTGGGAGGCTGAGGTGAGTGGATTGCTTGAGCCCGCGGGTTCGAGACCCGCCTGGGCAACTTGGCGAGACCTCATCTCTACAATAAATCAAAAATTAGCAGGGCATGGTAGCACGTGCCTGTAGTTCCAGCTACTTGGAAGGCTGAGGTGGAAGGATTGCCAGAGCCCAGCAGAGGGTGGGTGACAGAGTGAGACTCCAACTCAAAAAAAAAATAAATAAAAATAAATAAAGAATAGATTAATGCTCTAAAAACAAAACAAAACAAAACTATTTTGACATGGAGGCCTAGATTCCGGTCAAGAATCAGTATGTTTAATTTATAGAAAGCTAAATTACAATTACATGCTTTGGAAAATGTAGTTTATTTATAAAGTAAACTAGAGTGAGCGAGAGAGAGGAGGCTCAAATATCCAAGGCAGGGGAGCCAGGAAACATGAGAGTCATAGCTCAAGGAGCCACATGGTCAGACCATAGCTTAGCTTAGAAGTAGCTATAAAATTTATTTTACATATGATAACTCTATCATCAACCTTTTACAACTTGTTCAAATCTTTAGTTTTACTATTATCATTTTTACCTTGGGATAAAATTCTACTTTCTCAACTTTTTCTATTTAGTTTATCCATTATTTTCATTTCTTTAATTTTTTTAATCTAAAATTGTCTTTCTTACATTTGATAGAGTTACTTATACACATCAATTACAATGTTAACTTTTAGTGACTCTTATCTTTAGTTAAAATCTAGAAGACAAGTAATTTTAATTATGTACCAAAAGCAGAGTCCAGGACAATATGTGGGGCTATGCTTTATATCTTAACAGCTTGAATCTAAAGACATAAGTTTATAGACAACTTAAGTACAAAAAGTATTGCAGAAGCAAAGTTTTATATTTTAAAATGTATAGCAGAAATAGTATTTGACCAATGGACTAATAGACTCAGACAATATATCTAAATTTTGAAAGATTTTTTTTTTAACCAATATTAACACTGTAGTTTCTTACTAAAGATTACTAAAGTCATGGGAATAAAAGGCATGAGTTAAAGTTTCTATTTTTGATAAAGCATGTTAAATGCTTATTTTTCTTTTTAAACTAATTACTTCAAGTTTTTAAATATATTTTGACAGATTAGTATTTTAAGAAAACACTGTTATTTTGACATAATGGCATTCTGGCCTAACAACAGTGTGACTTTAATGCTAATGGATAATTTATTTAAAAAACTAAGAAATTCCCTTTAGCAAATTTGATCATTCATAGAATTCCTTTCATGTTTCTTTCCACAGACTTTCCACAGACCATCCATGACTTGTTTGGACTTTTTGTTTTGCCTTATACCTTCCTTTTTTCTCCCCAAATAACCAACCATTTTATTATAGGACAAAAATTTACCATATGAGATCCTTTCTTATACAAAATTATTTCTTGATCATCTTCCTTACCAAAAATATACCTTTAAATTCGTAACTTCCTTCACATCTCTCTCTCCTACTTACTGGTTCTTTTTTTTTTCCTTCCTTTTTTTATAGATCATTTTTCTAAATTTATAATTTGAATTAACCTTTAAGTAAACTTGATTAAGACAAAACTATTTCTTTTTTTCCCCCAGTTTTAAATGAGTATTTAATGTTTATATTTAGTTAAAACTGACTGAACTGTGTAAGGAAAACAAAAAGTAAAATTTGGGTGCTATAATGGACCCCTGCTGGGGTCTGGACTTGGGCGTATTAGAAGGTGACTGATACTGGGTCAGCAAGCCATGTTGTAATACATGTTGATTAGAGGTTGTCTGTGGGGTCAATTTAAAAGATAAGTGAAACGTTTAATTCTTGAAATGACATCAACTCTCACTGGGGAGCAAGTGTTAGAAGAGGTTTAGCATGGTTGACCAGGGCTGAATGGCTGGCATTTGTGTTAATTTAGAAATCAATATGGGTTCCAAAGGCCTAATATTCACTGGAGGGTGGGGATTGTTGGGGTGAAGGTAAAGGTGGTATTGGGCATAGTAAAGGTTCTCAGGGCCTCAGTGCAACCATTTTTTGGCCAACTGTTCCACCTTCCCTCCAGAAGAGGGTGCACACTTTTCCAATGTTCCACTTGTCTGCACAGTGGACAAAGTCCTGGAGGTTTTGGCCTCTAGGGGAAATTATGTTCCAAGTGTCCCCATTGACTGCGTTTATAGCAACAGATACCATCCCCCTTAATAGGTTTGTTCTTACTGGGTTCCTGTCAGGTGGCTACAGTTTTGTCAATAATGGTGACTGCTAATTTGCAGTATACCTGTCTTTGGTCCTGCTACCACCTATGCTGGTGTCTCCGCCCCCGCCTCCTGCCCCCCCCGCAATGTTTCAGTTGTTAGAAACCTTAACAGTCTCCTATAATTGAAAGTTTGGCGTTTGTGGTCCTAAGTCCAGCTTTTGGAGCTGGGCATCTAATGCTTCAATGATAAAATTTTGTTTGTATAGTGGTGATATAAAGACATAAAGTCCTGTACATAAGGAACTTCTGACCATTTCTGTTCTCATTTACAAAATAATTTTAACTGCAATATGATATTAAAATTAAGTTCTGTTCTTGCTCTAAACCTTATTATATGCTAATTTGTACTATATTCAAATCTTATTGCAATAGTATATTAACTTTTTTGTTTTAACCTGTCCAATTCTAATTTTTTTTCAGTTTATTAAAATTTGACGCAATGGGGAGTCTGAGGGTATAGATTGAGTACATTCCTCAAAAAAAACCCTCAGAATTTTGTCTTTGAATCTTTGAGTGCTGCATTCCTCAAAGGAAAATTCTGAAATGAAAAATAAAGGCTATGGCTGGGCTCAGTGGCTGAAGCCTATAATCCCAGCACTTTGGGAGGCCAAGAATTGCCTGAGCCTACTGGTTCAAGACCAGCCTGGGCAACATGGTGAGACCTTGTCTCTATAATAAACAAACAAACAAACAAATAAATAAATAAGCTGGGTGTGGTAGCATGTGCCTGTAGTTCCAGCTACTTTGGAAGGCTGAGGTGGAAGGATCGTCGAGTCCAGCAGGTTGAGGCTATGGTGGCCGGGAGTATGCCATTGCACTCCAGCCTGGGTGTCAGAGTGAGACTCCAACTCAAATTAAAAAAAGAAAAAGAAAAAGGAAGGCCACAAACAGTGATGCCAGGCATTCCTGGGTCCCTGATGACCACCTGAGCCAAGCATCCTTGGTCCCTCCCCCTATATCCACCTATGTAGGACTTTTCTTGAATGCCTTATGTGTCTTGTGACTTGAGCCATGAATGAGGTTTAATCAGAGACTTCCTAATAGCATCGTTTGAAGTGGTCTGATGCTATATACCAAAGACTGCATATTGGCAGTCACCATTATTGACAGAACTGTAGCCACCTGACAGGAACCCGGTAAGAACAAACCTACTAAGGGGGGTGGTATCCATTGCTATAAATGCAGTCAGTAGGGACACTTGAAACATAATTTCCCTCAGAGGCCAAAACCTCCAGGACCTGTTCATATTTTTAGAGTGAACAGACTGTTTGGATGGGAAATGGTCTGTTCCCACCCATTTCTAATTTCCAGTTGTTAGAATCCTCTTATAGATCACTGAATTGTAGTTTTAAGAGGTACCAGAGGTTGGTGTGAGGCTTTTGGAAAAGAAATGAGGTATGGACAATCAGGTGGGAATGGTCAATGAGCATACCTTATTGTACCACACAGAGAGCAGCCAGCATCTAAGGCTTCATCGGTCCTGAAGAAGTTAGCCAGGTGCAGTAAAGTGACTGAACTTTCTTTTCCAAAAAAAGAAAACTTTCAGTAAACTTCACATAATAAGCAATGGTGTTATTCACCAATAATGTTTTTTTTTTGTTTTTTTTTTTTAAATCAGTCCTGTGTCTTTATTAAAGAGAGTTAGAAAGAGACCAGACCCGGCGACCAAGGGTGAGGTACTGGCCAGGAGGGTGGCATGGCCTCAGGCCCTGGGGATTCAAGAGCAGACGGCTGGCCTGGGAGGGGCCGAGGAGATCAGGTCCTGGAAGCAGCTGAGGAGGTGCCCCAGGGCACTTTCAGGCACTGGGGCCATCGGCTGGTTCTGTGGGCAGGGGCTGGGGGGTAGGACGCCAGGTAGGTTGGGCTGGCCTGGAATCTCCCTGAGGCCACCCTGCCTTGCCTACCTAGATCATCCACTGGTCCTGATCCTGTCCGTTGCCTTCCGTGTCCACCTCACTGACCTCTCCATCATCAGGTGACTCACTGTAGTCATTCTTCTCATCCATGTCCTGCATGTCCTCATCATCCTCTGAGTCGTCTTCACTATCCTCATCATCTTCATCATCTTCCTCTTCGCCATCATCATAGTGCCCTGAGGCTGGCTTGCCAATGGGAACCAGGTTGTTGTCTTCCTCTGTGATGCTTTGGAGCCAAGCCTGGTGCTGCTGTTCCTGTTGCTGCAGCTCTGTCTCTTCCACACAGGGTCGATCCGGCTTAAACCACAGCATCTCAGTCGCACAGGGGAAGAATGAGGGGAACAAGGTAGACATGGCTCCTAGACGCGCCGGGAGGCTGCAGGCGGCAGCGATCCGGAAGCGCTTCACCCAGCCCGGGCGGAAGAACCCACCAGAATCCGGGACTCACCTACCAATAATGTTTTTTAAAAAAATACCCTTATCATCTCCTGGAGGGGCAATTTATTTTTGGTATTGGTCATAAGTTGTATGTTCCTTCAACAAATGGTGAAGTCGTAAGAAGCAAGGGTTAAGCATAAACTTTTTTAAAAAATAGTTTTTTGCACCATCAAGTTTCTAGAATGCCTGGATGTCTGGTTGAAAAAGCGAATTAGAATGGCATCACCTTTTTTTTCTCCCTCTATAAGTTAGCAGGATCCCTTAACCAGAGGAAGGGTTTAAAATATATATGGTCATATCTAAGTAAGTTTCCAACTGTTTTACAAGGACAGATAATTTATTGTAATCTATCTTGGGTGAGGCTCAAACCTTTGGAAAAGACCCACTTCTAAATAACCTGGCTCTTAGCATTTGAAAATAATAACTGTTTGTTCAAACAGCAAAAGAAAAACCTTTCATCCCCATTCTAAGTAGAAATCTTTCCTTCCTCCTTCCCACCAGTAGAATAGTGAAAGTGAGGCATGACTGAAAGAAAAAGGGACCTTCCAGTTTCTACTCAGAATGAAATTCAGTTTCTTCCATCGCCTCTGTGCCTTCCATCAGAAAGGATCACTCGAGGCTCAATTATGCATAATACAGGGGTCAGGCCTCTTCCCACCTCCACTAACCTCTAGTTAGGGAGGCCCTCAGCAATCCTGAAGCAGGGAGCAGAGACTGAGGACGGGGGAGACCATTCACAGATTGGAATGGCATCAATTCTCACTGGGGAGCAAGTGTTAGAAGAAAGAGGTTTAGCATGGGTGGCCAGCATTAAATAGCTGGCACTTGTGTTAACTAAGAAATCAACTTGGGTTCCAGAGGTCTAATATTCAGAGGAGTAAAAGTAGAAGCAGCAGAGACCAAGAGGAGAGAAAGACACAGAGAGAGATAGAGAGTGAGAGGCACACAGAGAAAAACAGAGAGAGGGAGAGAGGGGAAGAGAGGGGGAGAGAAAAGGAGAAGTAGAGGGGAAGAGAGAGGGAAGGGGGAGAGAGAGAGAGAGAGACAGACTGTAGCCATACTCACAAACACATGACAGTAATTGCTGAGCTTTTCATGCCTCATGTTGGACGCCGAAGATGTTGCCAGATGGGGGTGCAGTGCAATGCTTCATGGGTTCTTTGGCTCACTACAGAAAAGCGTTTCAGAGGGAGTATAGTTTTAAAACAGAATTTATTGGAGAGAGAGAAAGAGACAGGCCAGAGAGGCATGGACATCTTGAAGAAAGATGACATATTTGCTTTTGACAGAAGTTTGATATACCTATTATGCTAAAAGGGTGGGCTACAGGTATCTGATCTGAGTTTTGATTACCATCTCCCTACCTTTGATAAGCTGAACACACATTTTGCCTTTGACAGGAAACTTGATAGACTTTTACAGTGATTATTATGTTAATCCATGAGCTAAAAAGTAGGCTGATGAACATTTCTACATATTTGATAAGCTAAGGGATGGGTTTGCACTAGTATGTCCACATTCCAGCCCACAGGGTGGTCAGGCCTGTAAGAAACATGTTTAAATGCTCACCCTATTTTTTTTTTTTTTTGAGTTGGAGTCTCACTCTGTCACCCAGACTGGAGTGCAGTGGCACGCTCCCGGCCACCACAGACTCGACCTGCTGGGCTCCGGCGATCCTTCCACCTCAGCCTTCCAGGGAGCTGGAACTACAGGCACATGCTACCACGCCCGGCTAATTTTTGATGTATTGTAGAGATGAGGTCTCGCCAAGTTGCCCAGGCGGGTCTCAAACCCGTGGGCTCAGGCAATCCACTCACCTCAGCCTCCCAAAAGTGCGGGATTACAGGCTGAGCCACCAAGCCTGGCTTGCTCACCCTATTTTAAATTTACCTATAAAAAGTTATCTATGTCTATCCTACACTGAATAACCTACCTCATACACTCTATCTATCTATCTATCTATCTATCTATCTATCTATCTATCTATCTACTTACCATCTGTCTATCAAAGAGAAAGAGGGGGGTCTCACTCTGTCACCCAAGTTGGAGTGTAGTGGCATAATCACAGCTCACCACAGCCTCCTAGACTCAAGTAATCCTCCCCTCTCAGCCTCCTGAGTAGCTGGTACTGGCACTCCATCACACCTAGCTAATTAAAAAAATTTTTTTAAATTGTAGAGATGAGATTTCACTATATTTCCCCGACTGGTCTTACATTCTTGGGCTAAAGCAACCTTCACATCTTCCCACTCCAAAGTGCTAGGATTACAGGCATGAGCCACTGTACCACCTGCCCTATGATATATATATAAATTTATATATATATTTTATATATATATATTTTTTAAGTTGGAGTCTCACTCTGTCACCCAGGCTAGAGTGCAGTGCACACTCACAGCCACTGCAGCCTAGACCTGCTGGGCTCAGGCGATCCTTCTGCCTCAGCCTCCCAAGTAGCTGGAACTACAGGCACGTACCACCATGCCCAGCTAATTTTTTTAAATTTATTTACTGTAGAGATGAGGTCTCGCCAAGTTACCCAGGCTGCTCTTGAACTCATGGGCTCAGACAATCCTCTCACCTCGATCTCCCAAAGTGCTGGGATTATAGGTATGAGCCACTGTGCCCAGTCTCTTCTTGTATATTTTAAAGGTAGAAATATTAACACTTGATAATTGATTGAATGTGGGGTAGAGGTTAGATTGGGTGGGATAAAAAACGTACTGGATGAATAGGCTTGGTGCCCTGCTTGTGGTAATGAATTCATGAAAGTTCTGGTTATTAAAAAGAGTCTGGCATCTCCCTTCTTTCTCTTACTCCTGTTCTTATCATGTGACACACCAGCTCCCCTTGCCTTCTGCCATGAGCAAAAACTTCCCGAGACCTCACCAAAAGAGCAGATGTCAGCACTATGCAGAATCATGAATCGAAAAAACTTTTTAAAAAATTATTTTATTTTGTTTTAACATTGTGGGATACAATTCAGGGTTAGGTATACAAATATTCATTGTGCAGGTACCCTTGTTGATGAGGTGTCAAAGAAACCTTATTAAAATAAATCACCAGCCTCTGGTATTTCTTTATAGTGATACAAAATAGACTAATACAGAAAATTTGTATTGAGGAGTAAGGCACTGTTATAAAGATACCTAAAAATGTGGAAGTGGTTTTGGAACTGGGTAACGGGCAGAGATTGGAAGAGTTTGAAGGGCTCAGAAGAAGACAGGAAGACCCAGGAAAGTTTGGAACTTATTGGAGACTGGTTAAGTGGTTGTGACCAAAACGCTGGTAGAGATATGGATGGGGAGACCTAGTTGATGAGGTCTCAGATGGAAATGAGGAAGTTACTGAGAACTGGAGCAAAGCTTATCCTCATTACACTTTAGCAAAGCACTTGGCTGTGTTGTGTGTGTGTCCCAGGGCTTTGTGAAAGGCTGAACTTGAGAGTGATTGTGAGAAACAAACTCACCATCCAAAATCAAAGGATGGACATGGAGATGTGGAGTGCAGCAGAAAAGACTTTAGTTGCAGTCTTGCAAGATGGGGTGTCAGGTAAGCAGGTACACCCGGAACAGTTACAGCAAGCAATTTACTCTCTAATGCACAAGTCCCTCCTCCATTTCCTCACTGGCCGAGTACTATGGGGTGTACAATTTTCCTGGACATCACCTAAGCTTCATTATTCCCCTTATAAGTCATTCATTGTCCCCTTCCCTCTTTTCCTGCCAGTGAAAAAAGCCCACCAAATGTCCTGAGAAGTGAAAAGAACCAGGAAGTAAAAAGAACAAAGGGCTGATGACTAGCCACCATTTTAAGAAGTCAGAGTGGTGCTCCTGGGTTTTGTTTGTTCAGGAACTTCCTGAGAATGTGTACTTTCTGGGGTTCCCATATCTACAAGCTAGTTAAGTGACTTTTGTTAAGCAATTCTTGAAAATGAATCACTCAGGCTATTTTTCTTACATGATGACTTAGGGTATCTAGTGGAAGAAATTTCTTTTTATTTTGAGTTGGAGTCTCACTCTGTCACCCAGGCTGGAGTGCAGTGGCATGGTCACAGTTACCCCAGTGTAAACCTGCTGGGCTCCAGTGATCCTTCTGCCTCAGCATTCCAAGTAGCCAGAACTACAGGTGCATGTTATCACGCCTGGCTAAATTTTGATTTATCGTAGAGATGAGGTCTCGCCAAGTTGCCCAGGCTGGTCAGGAAGAAATTTCTAAGCAGCAGAGCATTCAAGAAGTGACATGGCTGCTTCTAACAGCCTATGATCAGATATGGGAGCAAAAGAATGACTTAAAATTGGAACTTATAATTAAAAGGGAAGCAAAGCGTAAAAATTTGTACAACCTAGCCATGTGGTAGAGAAGTAAAGAGTGTTTTTAGGAGAGGAGTTCAAGCACTTGTCAGAGAGTTTAGCATGACTAAAAGAGAGCTAGGTGCTATTCAAATCAATGGAACAGAAGTCCTTGGAGGCATTTTGGAAATCTATCACATGCCCAGTGGCCTAGGAGGATGGAATGGTTTCTAGGGGCCAGACCCGGGGCACTGCTGCCCTGTATCTGGCCTGCATCCTGGCCACTCCGGCTCCATCTAGGGCTCTAAGGGTACCTGATATAGCTTGAGCTACCACTCTGGAAAGCACAAGTCATAAGCCTTGGTGGTTTCCATGTGACATTATGCCTGCAGGGACACAGAATGTTAGAGTGAAGGAGGCTTGGCAACTTCCACCTGGATTTCAGAGGACATATGAAAGCTTGGGATCCCAGGCAGAAGCCTGCTACAGGTGCAGAGCTCCCATGGAGAGAATGTACTAAGCATAGTGCTGTGGAGAAATGTGGTGTTGAAGCCCCTACACAGAGTCCCCACTGGAGACACAGAGTGCCTACCCACTGGGGCACTGCCTAGTGGATCTGTGGGAATGGGGCTGC